TCCCAGTTCGAGCGAGGTCGGACTGCACTATTTTAATGGCGAAGGCACTTAGCCTGAGTCCCAGTTCGAGCGAGGTCGAACTGCACTATTTTAATGGCGAAGGCACTTAGCCTGAGTCCCAGTTCGAGCGAGGTCGAACTGCACTATTTTAATGGCGAAGGCACTTAGCCTGAGTCACAGTTCGAGCGAGGTCGAACTGCACTATTTTAATGGCGAAGGCACTTAGCCTGAGTCCCAGTTCGAGCGGGGTCGAACTGCACTATTTTAATGGCGAAGGCACTTAGCCATAGTTCCAGTTCGAACGAGGTCAGACTGGTGTCGGCTGTTTTCCTGTTTGCGTAATGGAGATCTTGTTCATACAATGGAGATCTTTATTCATTCAATGGAGAATTCTATTCATACAAGGAGAACAACGGAGATACTAGGGTAGTCCCTTCACCATGTTGGCCTACGTGGTGAACTCGTGCTTCTTGTTCCACCGGGCGTCCCCTTCGTTGCCTCGTTAAAAACCTTCCCGAGAAAACCCAATTGGGACAAACTCGGGCAAGGGAAAAAGAGTACGACTCGGGAGACACCTTTCAGAAGTGGAAGTGCTTGAGATGGGCGATGTTCCAATTGTTTTGGAGTAACTTTCCCTCCATCGTTTCTAGTTGGAATGCTCCTTTGCTAGCTGCCGCCGTAATTTTGTATGGCCCGTCCCAGTTGGTCCCTAACTTTCCTTCGTTCGGATCTTTCGATGCCAGTGTTTTGGCTTTGAGAACATAGTCGCCGATTTTAAGCGGTCTCACCCTGGCTTTCCTGTTGTAATATCTTTCCGCTTGTTGTTTTTTGGCGGCCATTATTATGTGGGCCATGTCTCTTCGTTTCTCGACCTCGTCCAGGTCTTGTAACCTGCTGGCGTCGTTGTCTTCTCTACCGGTGTGTGAGTATCTCAGACTGGGTTCTCCGATCTCGACGGGTATGACGGCATCGGTTCCATAGACCAATGAATAAGGTGTCTCCCCCGTGTTGGATTTGGGCGTATTCCGGTATGCCCATAATACCTCGGGTAATAACTCGGGCCACAACCCTTTGGCTTCTTCGAGCTTCTTCTTTAATATGTTCAGTATTGTTTTGTTTGAAGATTCGGCTTGACCGTTAGCAGCGGGATGATACGGGGTGGAGAGTATCCGCTTGATGTGCCACTTCTCGAAGAATTCGGTAGTCTTTTTGCCGATGAACTGGGGTCCGTTGTCGCAACTGACCTCTTTGGGGATGCCGAAACGGCATATGATATTTTTCCATATGAATGCGATTACCTCTTGCTCGCGTATTTGCGCGTACGCACCTGCTTCGATCCATTTAGAAAAATAGTCAGTTAAAACTAACAGAAAGCGTACCTTTCCTCGTCCAGCTGGTAGGGGGCCGATTATGTCCATCCCCCATTTTATGAACGGCCATGGCGAAGTGACTGAGTGGAGGAGTTCTCCTGCCTGTTGTATCATAGGGGCGAACTTCTGGCATTGTTCGCATCTTCGGACGTAGTCCGCTGCCTCTTTCTTCATGGTGGGCCAGTAGTAACCGGCGCGTATGAGGCACCGGACAAGAGCGCGGTTCCCCGTATGGGCGCCGCAATGGCCTTCATGCACTTCTTCCAAAACTTGCCTCGTTTGGTGTGGCCCGAGACATTTAGCAAGGGGACCACCGAACGTTCTCTTGTAGAGCTCGTGGTTTATGAGGCTGTAGCGGGCTGCTTGTACCCGAAGTTTCTTGGCTTCCTTTTTGTCGTGCGGGAGTGTCCCGTCCTGCAGGTAGGATACAAACTGGTTGCGCCAGTCCCAAGTTAAGCTTAATGAGAGTACCTCGACATGGTCGACGGCTGAATGGAGGAGAGTGACCACGTTCTCTTTGTTGATATTTTTGGTGGCTGCGGCTAGTTTTGCTAGGCTGTCCGCCTCGATGTTCTGTCCCCGGGGAATCTGCTCGAAGCGACATTCGTCGAACTCCGTCATCAGCTTGCGGATTTCTGACTGGTATTTTTGTAGCCTCTGTTCCTTAATTTGGTAGGTTCCGGTGACCTGGTTTACGACGAGTTGGGAGTCGCAATGGAGGAGGACCCGACGGGCTCCGTATTTGATGGCCAGCTTCATACCTGCAATTACAGCCTCATACTCGGCTTCGTTGTTAGTCATTTCAGGGCATCGTATGGACTGGCGAATTACTTCTTCCGTGGGGACTTCGAGGACGAGTCCCAGTCCTGATCCCGAGGCGTTTGCGGCGCCATCGGTGTAGAGGATCCAGAGGTCGGTGTTTGCAGAGGCGCGGAGGGCCTCTTGTTCCACCTCTGGCAAGATTCCCGTGCTGAAGTCGGCGACGAAGTCGGCAAGTACCTGCGACTTGATGGCGGTTCTCGGGTGATAGGTTATGTCATGCTCGCTGAGCTCTATGGCCCATTTGGCGAGCCTTCCTTAGAGTTCAGGTTTGTGTAGGATGCCCCTTAGGGGGAAGGTTGTTATCACCTTTATGGGGTGGCACTGAAAGTAGGGTCTAAGCTTTCGTGAAGCTACGACTAATGCCAAAGCCAACTTGTCGAGGTGCGGATACCTCGTTTCGGCATCTATTAGAGTTTTGCTGATATAGTAAATCGGGGATTGCGTACATTTGCTTTCGCGAACTAGGATGGCGCTGACGGCGACTTCTGACACCGCCAGATAGACGAGCAGGCATTCGCCGGGATCTGCTTTGACGAGCAAGGGTGGTGAAGATAGATATTCCTTCAGTTTCCTTAATGCTTCGACGCATTCTTCGTCCCATTGCAACCCTCGATCTTTCCTCAGTACATTAAAGAATTTGTGGCACCTGTCCGAGGATCGCGAGATGAATCTTGACAGAGCGGCTATTCGCCCGGTTAGTTTCTGCACCTGCTTCTTGCTATTCAGGGTTTCTGGTATCGTCTCTATGGCCTTGATCTGGTCTGGATTGACTTCGATACCTCGCTGGGATACGAGAAAACCCAGGAACTTTCCGGAAGACACGCCGAAAGCACATTTTTCTGGGTTTAGCTTCATCCCGTATCGTCTTAGTATCTCAAAGGCTTGTTTTAAATGGTCGATGTGATCCTCCTTTTTAGCCGACTTTACTAGCATGTCGTCGATGTAGACCTCCATTGTCTTGCCGAGCTGTTCCTTGAACATCTTGGTGACCAGCCTTTGGTATGTTGCGCCGGCGTTTTTGAGCCCGAAGGGCATCACCTTGTAGCAGTAAGTCCCTTGGTGGGTGATAAAAGTCGTTTTTTCCTGGTCCTCATCGGCCATCAGGATCTGGTTGTAACCAGAATAGGCATCCAAAAAGCTTAGCAGCTCGTGTCTGGCTGTTGCGTCTATCAGCTGATCGATGTGAGGTAATGGGAAGGAGTCCTTTGGGCATGCCTTGTTCAAGTCAGTGAAATCCACGCACATCCTCCATTTCCCGCTTTTCTTTTTGACCATGACCACGTTGGCGACCCACTGGGGGTACTTCGATTCTCTGATGGACCCGTTGGCTAGTAGCTTATCTACTTCTTCGCTGACTGCCTCATTGATTGCGGCGTTGAACTTTCTCCTTACCTGCCGCACGGGCGGATATAGTGGGTCGACGTTGAGTTTGTGAGTGGCGATGTCTTTTGATATCCCTGGCATGTCAGAATGGGAAAAGGCGAATAGACCTGCATGGTTAGTTAAGAATTCATGGTACTTACCTGGGTCAGAGAGGTTATGCCCGATGTAGGCTTTTTTCGAACTGTCAGTATTGTCCAACATGAAAGGTTCGAGGTCCTCAACTGTCGCTTTGCAGGCTTCCACAATATCGGGGTCCCTGATGCCTTCCGTTGTCGGGGTGAGTTTGGTCCCCGACATGGCTGATTGCTATGCTTCCGCACTTACCCCTTTCAGTTGCTTGGTGTGAGTGCAATCTTGGGCGATTCGGTAACATTCTTGGGCGGCGTGTGGCTCGCCTCGGATACTGAATATTCCCCATGGGGTGGGAAACTTGATTACCTAATAGAGGCTCGAAGGGACGGCTCGGATGGCGTGTATCCATGGACATCCTATGATGACGTTGTAAGCCGTTTCCTAGTTCATGATGTGGAAGGTGGTGTCCAGCGTGACTCCTCCCGCTAGGATCGGCAGTGATATCTCTCCGGAGGTGCGTTCTACTGCATTGTTAAAATTCGTTAGTGTTATGCAATGCGGTATTACTTTATCCTCAAGCGTCATTTGCGTAAGGACTCTCGGATGGATAATACACGCGCCGCTTCCGTCGTCTACCATAATTCTCTTTACATCAGTATCAGCAATGCGTAAGGTTATGACTAAAGCATCATAGTGAGGGAAAGACAAACCGTCGGCATCAGACTTATCGAAGGTGATACAATCTTCGAAGTCATCATACCGTTCGTGAGCGATTGTGCGCTTCAGTTTGTGCGTGGTGGTGAACTTGACGTGGTTGATTGTCGAATTATCACCGCCGCCGACAATCATCTGTATGGTTCGTGTCGGGGACGGCGGTTTTGGCGGCCCTTGAGATTGGTCGCGTCCCCTGGCGAAGTTGGCTCTCCCTTTGTCGCTGAGCAGCTCCTTCAGGTATCCCTGGTTCAGCATCCTGACTACTTCTTGTCGTAGGCCTATGCAGTCTTCGGTCCTCTGTCCCCGTTCCTGGTGGAACTCGCACAGGACGTTTGATTTTCTTGCACTAGGATCTGATTTCATTTTTGGCGGCCAGTGTACCTTCGGGCCTAGCTTCTCCAGTGCGTATACTATATCTGAGGGTGAGACACAAAAGTTATGAGCGGATAATAACGGAGGCATACCTCTTTCATTCCGGAGCGTAGCAGTATGTCGTTGCAAGGCGTCCTGGTGTCTCGGAGGAGGCGGGTTAGGGGCTCTAACGTAGGGTTGATGCCTTTCTCTATTAAACCGTGGGAGCGGGTCCCGTCGCCCGTCGTTGCATTGATCTCTCCTGGTTTCCGTCTGTACTGACGTTAGCCGCTGGGTCGGACCGTTAAGGTCGTCCTCGTCTGCCCTTACCTCTGCACAGTAGGCGTTGTGGATCTCCTCCCACGTTGTGGGGGGATACTTCATGAGTCGGTTGAGTAGTTTCTTGGTTGCTTTCGACCCGTCCCTGCTCAAACCGTTTTGGAAGGCAGCAACTGCCATTCCCTCCGATACGTTAGGCAGGCTCATTCTTACTCTGTTGAATCGTGCCAAGAAGTCCTTGAGCCCTTCGCCTGTCGTTTGCCTGATCGCAAATATGTTGTTAACCCTTGCTTCGGCCTTCTTTGCTCCCGCATGGGCGGTAGCGAATTTGTCCGCCATCTCCTCGAACGTTGATATCGACCTAGCCGGCAGTTGCGAATACCATGTTAGTGCCCCTCCGGTCAGGGTTTCTCCGAACTTTTTCAGCAGCACGGACGGCACCTGCTCCTTTGACAAGTCATTTCCTTTCACAGCGGTTACGTAGTGGATCAGATGATCTTCTGGGTCCGTGGTCCCATCATATATTCTCAAATATGGGGGCATCTTGAAGGTTTTTGGGATCGGATGAGGGGCGGCTTCCTCGCTGTACGGTTGCTCGACGAAACGTCCTACGTCGCGTTTCGGCAGTAATTTTGGTGCACCGGGTATTTTGTCTACCCTTTCCTGGTGCTCTTTCATTTGGTCACGGAGTGCCTTATTCTCATTCTCCATTTCTTCCATTTTTCTTAGGATGGTTGCGAGCGCATCGTTGCTTACGATGATGTCTGTATGAGCGTTGCTCGTCTGCATAGCACCTGGTTAGCCGGCAGCTGCGGTAGTCGCTGCCGCTGGTGAATCGCTAGGGTTTCCCGGAGACGGTTTCTCGAGCAGGCCGCTCAGGGTGTTTGTCAGCCACTCCTCCAGTAATTTTTTGACTACTGGGGGTGTTTCCTTTACTGCGGGTGTCGAAGTCCCCTTCTCATGCAAGATCGTTAGATCTTCGAGTGAGGAGGGCGATATATTTTCCTCTGGAAGAATGCTCGGTATTGCATTTGAAACATCTTCTCTACTGGCCTCGTTGAGGGGATCCATCAGGTTGGTTGAGACATCGGCTACCATCTTTAGCTTAGATTCTCTGTCTGCCATTTCTGGTTCTACTGAGTTTGGGGGATAATGATCGTTGTTTCTGATAATCTAGATGTGAACTATGACTTTGATTATTGAAATCCCCACAGACGGCGCCAAATTGTTTGGCTTAAAATGTTAACGAACAGTGTTTAAGCAAATCAATCAGATATATGGAGAAGAGGTAAATCGTAATCAAAGATAATCGACACTAGAGTATGAGTAATCCTTTGTGGTCTGGTGATTCGGAGCAGTTAAAGGACAAAGTTGCGTGATAATGTTACAAAGATCCGAGGTATCTGTTTTTCAGAGAAAGAGAGAGATAGAACTTGAGACAGAGAGATAGAGAGAGTAAGTAGAAATGTTATTGATCCAAAAAAAACCCCCCTTTACACAGTTGGGAACCCCCCTTATATAGCGGAGGGATTTCCCCTTTTTTTCCTATTTACGATATAAAGATAAAATATATAAACTAAAGATAAAGTGCACGTTACAGAGGGGCCGACGTGATTACATGATCGTCCCTTGGGCCCGACCTTTGTCCACACGACAGATCGTGTCCATTTTGAGGACGGGGTTGGTCAAACTCGACCCTATACAATTTTCAATTCAGATCAAGCCTCTTATGTGCAGTTATGCACCGGCTAAGATCTTAATCTATTGACCAGATGATTAACTCAGGGGTAAGTATTTTTATCTCCACTTGAATCTCGTGGAGTTAAATAGTGATCGTTTGATCTAGCCTTTGTGTGCACCGGCCAAGATCTCAATCTATTGACGAAAAGATAATTAACTTAGAGCCTGTTTGGACATAAGAGTGTTTTCATTTATTTTCGAAAAAAATTTATTTTTTTGAAATCAGTATTTGGTCATAATAATTTTAATTTTAAGATGAATTTTAAATTTTTTATAAAATTTGATAAACTCAAAAAAAAAATTCTTTTTAAAATTTTCACTCAGATCACTAACAAAAATTTAAAAACAACCCAAAATTATATTAAAGTCCAAACACAACTCTAATTTTCAAATACCATATTCTCTTAATTTTTTTTTTACAATTCTTATATCCAGACGGCGAGTAAGTGATAAGCATTTTCATCTCCATTTAAATCACGTGGAGTTAATAGTGAACTAACGTGTTAGGAAAAAAAATGAAAAGACCTTTGTTACGTTGCGTGCTAGTAACCTTTTTTTTTTTCTTTTTCATGACGTTGCGTGCTAAGTTTACAAATAGAAATAGTAGCATTAACTTCCCTACCTACCAGTCCTTCCCTTTGACTTCTATCCACTTTTAGCCCTTTTTCTTTCTCTCTCTCTATCTTTCACCATCTCTACATCTCCCTAATCCGAATCCTAACAGTGCAAACTTTCAATGGGGACCGAAAATTCTGGAACTGTGGAGATAACGGAGCCATTGCTAGAGGAACCCTCCAAAATCCCCGATTCCAATTTGGACGATTCGGAAATTATTCCTTATTGGAAGGATCAGATCACGATTAGAGGCCTAGTGGTGAGTGCTGTGCTTGGGACTCTCTTCTGTATCATCACTCACAAGCTCAATCTCACTGTTGGTATCATTCCTTCTCTCAATGTCGCTGCTGGTTTGCTGGGTTTTTTCTTCGTCAAATCATGGACCGGTTTTATGTCGAAACTGGGCTTTTCTGTTCAACCCTTTACTAAGCAAGAGAACACAGTTATTCAGACCTGTGTTGTTGCTTGCTATGGCCTCGCTTTTAGTGGTATTGCCCTATTCTTATCTGATTTTTATTTAATTAATTAAATAAAGAACATGAGTATTGAAATGAAATGGGTCTAAATAGAGCGGAACAGATAAAGAGGATTCATATAGTCGCCCACAACTAGTTTAGGGTGAGGCGTTGTTGATTGATTGATTATATTGAACAGAAGCTCTTGGTTATTATTGTTATTATTAGCTGATGTTGCCTTCTTCTCCCCGTTGTATTTTGGATGTTAGTTTTCCTTCAAGGAGCATCAATCAATTCGTGCATTTGGCAGGGCGAATACCTATTAATTCGTTCGCGAGCATAAGTTTCGGTTTTTTGTTACGCATTTACTTGTTCCTTGAGATGAAGGGCCAGTAACCAAGGAGTTTTGGATGTTGAGCTTACTGTTAGAGATCAATCGATCAGTCAACTATATCTCACTCACAAACTAAGTGAGGTCGATTATATGATTTCTCCATACAATTAGTCATAATGTGTTGAAACCAACTTTGGAGGTCGGACCTATAATTTTGTTAGAAGCGTCTGAGGAAACATACAAATTTGAAATTCACATCTTCCCCTTTTGCCACCACAGGAGGAGACTAGTTGTGGTGACAGATGAATCTTTTATCCTGTATAAAATTTACGTTTACTTATATTTTAGGAATTTTAGTTGACTGGAAAACGGTTTCTGTCTCTCTTCTTCGGAACAAAATGAGGAGTATTTATCACCCTAGAGAAATGATGATGTGTTTCTGTGTAGTTTATTGGTTACGAGGACTTCTTTCAGTTCTATAGGATGACGAGGACTTAACAATTCTTGTACTTCTAACTTTTTAAGCTTATCATATGTTTGATTCATGATGCATTCTCTTGTTACCTTATATGTTTGCAGGTGGCTTTGGGTCATACTTGCTAGCAATGGATGAGAAAACATACAAACTTATAGGTCCTGATTATCCTGGAAACCGTGCAGAGGATGTTAAGAATCCAGGGTTATTATGGATGATGGGCTTTATATTTGTTGTTAGTTTCCTTGGCCTTTTTAGTCTTGTGCCTCTCCGTAAGGTACTTTCTGATTCCGACCATTTTTGGTAGTAGTTCAATATATTGTTAGGGTTTGCATGGTTTGATTAAGATGTCTCTGCAATTTTTTCATGTAAAAATCTGTTATATTAATTAATTTAAGAGATGGAGAAGACATATAAAACAAAACTTTTGTCAAATGGGGAACCAACACCACTATATTGCGCTTGAACTGTTATAGCATTAGCACCCACCAGCCAGCAATGCCCTTTCTATTTATGTACTTGTGCTATTCTATGAAATGCTTCTTTTGAAAGTTTTCTGTAGCTATATTGTATTAATTGAATAAATTTTTGGGCATATGCTCCACATCCTTGTTGCTCATATGTTGACTGGGATTCAAATATCTATCTGATAAATTTAATTCTCTTGTAAATGTGATTTCAGGTTATGGTTATGGGTTATAAGCTCACATACCCTAGTGGAACCGCCACTGCGATGCTAATAAATAGCTTCCACACAAATACTGGTGCTGAACTTGCAAGGCAAGAGATTCATTATTATGTTCCTTTCTGTATCTAGTTTCATAAAGATGCTACATCTTTGCGCTAGCTACCTGATTGATGATAGAAGTGCAGAAGGTGTCTTGAAAGATAAGACCGGTTAAACTTATTTAATGCTTAATGCTCCTTATCAGCAAGAGAGAGTCTTGGTGATTGGTGTACTTGAGAATAAAGTTGTACACCTTTTACCTGTTCACATGAACATCACCAAATAATTAGCATCACCTTTTCTTCTCTGGCTTTTGGAGTCGATTCCTTTTCTTCTTTCTCTGGTTCAGACGTTAATCAATATATGTTTTTTCGCATTTATCTTTTTTCCCCAGTCGGGGCAGCGTGCGGTTTAGGGGGGGGGGGGGTGCTTTAACTATTCAATCATTTCTATGGTCTTAGGAGAACTTACTTTGAAACATCTTGCGCTCTATGAGTATCACAAGTATCATTTGTTGTCACAGGAATCAAGTTGGTCGTCTAGGAAAATATTTGAGCATAAGTTTCTGCTGGAGCTGTTTTAAATGGTTTTTCAGTGGTATTGGCGATGCATGTGGCTTTGATAATTTTCCCACCCTTGGGCTGACCCTATTCAAGAACACGTAAGAATATTCTTCTAATATCTGCAATTCTTATATTCCTTGCTATATTTTCTTGATCTGGAATAGGGGCAAGGTAAAGTTCTTTTTCTTCCTTTTTTTCTCTCTGTTCACATTGATTATTTTTTATTCTTAAGCTAATAATTTCCATGGGATAGCTGAGAAGAGAATTGTTGTAGCTTTATTAGATTGGAATGAGAAAGCAGCTAGATTTATGCTTTTGTGAACAATTGTTCATTTTCAAGAGGAGGAAACACTTGCAACTGTTCTTCGAGCACGATATATGTTAGGCTGCTAGAACACCCGCATTATTGAATTCTATAGATGCCATGATTTTGGTGCTATTGCTAAATTAGAGGCTGTGAAAATTTCTTTTTCCATTGGCTCTTCTGTATGATCTCTTATGGATACTTGCCCTATTTTTTTAATGTTTACATATTATCTTTAACTTTTATTTTGTCACTAGATATTCTCTGTCCTTGGTTTTTGTTATAGTAAGTTGAGGCCAAGAGAGAAACACGACCCGAAGCCTTGTAGTATGACTATGTATTCCTTTTCCCTCTTTTCTCCCTCTTCCCCTACCTGCTGGAACTAAAACAACACTATGACCTTCTTGATAAAGAATGGATTCGCTATTGATGTTTTGGCTCTTACACAGTCGTCATCCTGCAGGTTCTATTTTGATTTTAGTCCGACTTATGTTGGATGTGGCCTTA